CTCCATAGAGAATTGCAGATAATTCCTTCGTATCAAAACTTGTGCGACTGCGTTCTAGCTTAAGATCTTCATTCATTTTCAAAAATCGCAATCTCTTTACAAGAATTCAAGAAAATATCAGATAAAAATAAAATACATAAAAGTTCTCGAATTGCGAAATATTAAATATTTTTTGTGATAGTACCAGTCTACCAGACCATCTGCGCGGTAATTCCGTCGGTCGCCTCTACCGATGGACAGGCGCAGATTGTCGCAAAAAATTAAAATATTTCTATTCTCATTCAATATTTGAAGGTTTTAATTTATAGCTTAGCTGATCAGCACGTAGCTAACAACCGAATACTTCAAGAAACATAAAAATGTACTTGAGTATTAGCCTGTGTCACAGCCAAATTCTATTTTCCCCCAATAAGATGTTTGTTGATCACTACGGTAGGTTGTTTATACTTCTGGGGCCAGTTGTACGATAGACTTGCTCCAAGTCTCTCTTTCATTGTCATATCGATCCACTATAGTGTACATTACATGACTACGTCATGTAATGTACACTATAGTGGACCGATACTATATGACAATACAACTAGACTTGCTCTAAGTCTCTCTTTCACGAAGGCTGGATAGCGCTATCCACCGGATAGTGATTTTTTCAAGCTTTGTTAAATCAGCCGTTGATTGGTATAACTCGTATTAAAGTTTAGTATTTATAAGTTAAATGTTTTTTATACTTCTTGTGTCGTCTATATATCCGCATCATTTCACAGTTTTTCAAGCATTTTGATAAAGGTTGAAAAAATCACTATCCAGTGGATAGCGCTATCCGAACTTCGTACAACCGGCCCCTGATAGTTTTTTACAAATATTTTATTTTATACCGTTTTTGGAATAACGGACGCTGGCTCTCCCACGTTTATTGCCTCTCCCACGTTTATTGCCTCTCCCACGTTTGAGATTTGTAAAGCGAATGATTTTCTGCTCTTGGGAATTTAAAACAACTTCTTAAACAGTTTCTGAGACATTCGGCAAATTCTAACAATACGTTATTTCAATAGTTTTGGGGGGTTTTGGGACACCAAGGTCCATGTTTACAGGGGATTGAAAAAACCAAAACTCAGTTTTGATTGAAATAACGTATTGTTAGGATTTCAAATGCCCTAGCACTAAGCTGAACGCAAAGATGTGTAAAATATTGACAGGGTGCATATATTATAAATATTGACTTTATTAAAAAATTAAAATATCAGTAAATTTTTTTGAGAATTTTTGAGGGATTTGTGAATTTAAAGCAGCTTCGATAAAATTTACTTATGCCAAGCTTTTATGTACTTGTGGGTCCAACTTTAAATGATGAACACATTTTAATTATACAAGTTCGAGGTTTAGAGGCAAGAGCAGAGGTTTAGTAAATATTTTGATCAGTTAATTAGCGATGTTTGAAGGTTTGCTGTCCTTCGGCAAGTTTGCTATTATCTGAATATGCGAAACGTTACTAGAATTATCAAAGCTTAAATCTTTTTTATGTCCCGATACAATTTAAACTTGCCCATGAAATCTCGCTCGAATTGACTTCATTTTTGATACGGTCTATCCGTAATAGACTGCGGGACAAGACTCTATCGAAACCGCGACGCCAATTCGAAACAAACAATTCGCCGAGCAAGTCCAGATTAGCGCTAATTAAAACGCGCTATTTTCAATAGAATATAAGTCACAAGATCATGTTATTTGAAAATATATATTGAATAATATAGGTAATAAATTACAATGTGAAAAATATACGTGCATCTATATAAAGCTATAAGCATTCGCGTTATTGTTAATAGCGTTCGAATAACATATTAATAATCTATACTATAGTTCATCAGCGTTCTCATATTGTTCATAATCAGTCTCTTGATAATCTTGGGCTTCGCTGGAATCTTGTTGTCTTGGATAAAGGTAGCTGTACGGTACAGGATTCGTTGTCGTAGGATAACTAGGATATGCAGCCCACATACCAGAGTAATATGGCATGTAGTAATGTGGGGGGAGATAGGGCATCATTTGTTGTGCGGTGGGGACGGGATAAGGTGTAGGCCCATAGACCGATGGAAGTGCGAGTATGTCATTGATACCAAAACCCCGTCTAGGTGTAGAGTGGTTGGCAGGTAGAGTGGCGACCGTTGGATAAGGATAGGGTTGGAAAAACTGTGGTGGAACTGCGATTTTTGGTGGTAGATTCGTCCTTTCGACCAAAGCCGGTAGGATTTCGTCCAAATCTTGCTCCCTTTTGAAACGTTTACGTCGCCTTCGGAAACTGCCGTCTTCGAACATGCTCTCGCTCGCCGGGTCGATTGTCCAGAAATGCGCTTTGGTTTCATCATGAGGCTCCCGAGGTAGCTTCACGAAGCAATCGTTGAGGGTCAGATTATGTCTAATAGCGTTTCTCCATTTCAGAGGGCAAGTCACGTAGTAGGGGAAATTGTCTGCGATGAATTTGTTGATCTCAGATAAGGTCATTTTCCGACGTGGGGAACTCGTGATGGCCATCGAGATTAAAGCGACGTAGCTGTAAGGAGGTTTTCCAGGCGGGGCTTTCGACCGCTTTCGCTTCGTACGTACTTGCATACAACTTGGGTAACAATTCTCACTGCTGTTCTCCGAGCCAAACGCGAAACTGTTCTCGGAACCGTTCTCTGAAATTGTAGGACTAGCTTCGGACGGTTCACGCTTGCATCGATGAATCATAGTTTCGATTCTTGTTTCGTCCAAACTGCTTTCGTCAGAACTCATGTTTCTTGCGTTTTCCGCCGTTTCTTGCTTTTAAAATGTTTTCTCGCTTCGTATCGCTTCAAGAGTTAACACAGAATGATTCTGCACAAAAACCTGCACCTTTTTATATTATCGCGTGGGATAAGGCAAAACAATGCTTGACACGCTTTGCAAGTTTGGATAAAACAAATCTACTTCCTTCGCGTGTCAAAAATTGATTCATTATTGCGGCCCACTATACTTAAATGAGGGCGTAATTAGCCCCACTAACTATTGTGTATTGAAAGTAATTTGTTTGATAGTACGTAATTTGTTATGAGTTCTTGTTTACTGAAATAAACAATCCTTTCACTGTTTTGGGATTTTGTTTTTAAATCTTTCTGGAAAAACACCTTTCAATGTATTTACGCAATTTTTAATGCCCTAGCGCAAAAACATATAGTTAGTACATTTTCTATATCACTGATTCACTGAATGACTAAACTATTTTCTAATTTGTATATCCCAAAAGCTCCAATATATATAAGGGACCACGAACCGGTCCACAACTTAAAAATACTGTTTTACCGTGAAATTACGGCGTGGATTTTTCAACCTGGTCCTGGCATGCACTACAAATTATATTGAATGCATGCTAAATAATATTGTTTGAACAAGCTTTCGCGTTGGTAGGCATGCAACTATACCTGCAAAATATAAGGAGAATTTCGTCGTTTCGAGCGAAGGCCCTTCGTATATATAATGGGGCCTTCGAAGGCTTAAGCTCGAAACGTCGAAATTCTCTTTGTATTTTTCAGTTCAAAAAAAATATTGATTGTCTGTCTATTTCAGTAACGTCCACACGGGCAAATTTTGTGTAACAAAACATTTGAAAAGAAAAAGTGCAGTAAAGTACATGCATGTATATATATTGAGAGGATTTCCTGTAAATAGCTTATAACAACCTTTAATTTTTAGTTCATTGCAAATAATTACTGATTGTGTTCTCGTTAAACCTACTCTTATATAGTTATGTAAAGATATTTTGCACACGTCCCCCGTAGAAATCATGCAGCTTATTTGGTTGACGGGGTCAACGTGTTTAAATAAAGTTTTTCTATTCTATTTTCTATTCTATATACTGTATATATATATATATAGTTGCTCGTGGGAATGATACAACGATTATTTATTTGCTTTAATTGATTATAAATTTGCTAGTTGAACAACAATAACACGGCAAGATGCTTTTAATATATAGGCTATAGTATAGCCGTATATTGGCCATTGGCATTGTAGTTCATATATACTCTGTGAGATTACGCACATGACAATCGATTTTTTTATGCAAGAATTCTCGACCTATGGTTATAAAACTTAAGTATAATATCACTGATATATATTCCAATTCCGACAGAGGAATATTCATTGGACAAAAAACAACCGACGCAGGATATTGGCGCTCGGTCCCTGGAACACTATTCACGTCACAATTAATAATGGAAGATTAAAAATGAAGATTTCTCATCCATATGAATGGTACATGATTGAATCTATGCTAAGAATCATGGTTATGGAAGAACGTAAAGACTGTCTGGTGTGTCAATTAAACCAAGTTATCTCAACTTGGATGGATTAATTCCCTATACATTAATTCTCTATACATGCAATCTAGAGAAGGGACTACCAAATATTAAATCTAAATATATTGTGCATATTTCATTTCTAGCTTATCGTTATATTGGAGGAGGGTGGGGGGGGGG